TGAGAAAAGGAAATGGAGTTCTGGATGCCCCACACTTCCAGGGACTGGATCTTGAAGTCTCTCTTGCAGAGTGCAATGCTCTTAAAAGTTTCACACGGCTCTGTGTAACCCCCTTGTAGGTCTCTTTGCAGGCAGAGAGCATGGCCTCCATCACCACCTGAAAGAGGACACATAGATATGAGCAGGGTATACTTGCAGTTCCCCTGTAAAATAATATTTTCAAAGTTCCTTTAAAGGCTGTCTTTTCTTACAGTGTTTCACTAACACACCAATAATAAGCCGATTGTCATTGCCTACTATAAACTTGGAGGCCTCTTGCTCCTTACGGGGCCTGAGAAGCTGATTGGAGCTGAGCAATAAGCAGTCACACTGAGGAGAGAGGACAACGGAGTTAGTGAAGTAGTGGAGGGAGCGCTGAAGTGGTAAATAATTGGTATAGCTATTCTTACTTGCAGGGGATAAACAGAGCGATGAGAGGAGGGCGACAGGGATCCGGGGTGAGCTGAGTGGCATGGAGAGGTTCCAGATGGAGTGTGATGGCAGGAGGGCAGCCAGGTGAGGCACAGAGTGATTTCCAGAATAGTGGCTTTATATCCTGAATCCGAGAGTGGAGCATGAGCCAAAGGTTTGAGCCAGGGTGAATCCAGAAAATGGGTTGATGATGAACTGGCAGTGAATGAACGTCAGTGTGAGCCTTAAATCACTACACTCCAGGTGTGCAGGAACTGGAGCAGGTTGCCCTGCCCAGGGGAAGATCCCAGGTGGGTTCAGGAGCCTGATGGAAATTCCAGTGACCCACCGCGGACCATGACATTGAATTTGGTCAGGAGAAGCTCTTTGGCTCATAATATTGACCATAGATCTCTGGTAGAGCTCCATGTTGGGACGGAGCTGAAAAAGTAATCACAAATCTTGTTTGATGTCTTGCAGTGTCAAAGGCATTGCAGTGCACTAACATAAAGAAACCCATACATGGTCAATCTAAATCTAAGGTAAGTTGAATTCAACAAGAAGAAAGCTCACCGTGAAAACTAAACACTCCCCAGTTCCAAAGTATGCAAGTTCCTCTGAGTCATGTTTTCTTCTTTCTGCTACATCTGTTGGCAAGAAGGCACCAGAAATATGTCCTGGTGAAATAAAGCAGAGTATAATGAACAGACAATCTGTTTGTGATTATGAAGGTAGATGGTTGTTTTAAAAGCTGGATACAATATCAAGAATGTGTATTCCATCTTGTTGGCTACACATGTAAGTTCAACATGTAATCTTAACAACAAAAAAAAAAGTATAACGTACCTAGATTTCAGCCCTCCAGATGGCTTTGGAACAAGGAGGACATAAATTCTGGACTTTAAACTTTTTATTTCATAAGTATTACAGCTTTTCTAATGATAAAGACCTCCCGCGTGAAAAGAAAAACAAAATTAAGTAATAGATAAGCAATTAGGGGATCCACACATCCCTGAGTCACCTGGACACTGGCAGGGGAACTTATGTTAGGATGCTGTTCGTGGACTACAGTTCAGCATTCAACACAATAATTCCCTCTAAGCTTTTCACAAAGTTGGCAGATGTAGGACTCAGCTCATCACTATGTCAGTGGATCCTCAACTGCCTCACAGACCGACCCCAATCTGTGAGGGTGGGAAAACAAGTCTCCCCCTCCATCTCACTCAGCACTGGAGTGCCTCAGGACTGTGTTTTAAGCCCCCTGCTGTACTCACTGTACACTTATGACTGCGTAGCCACATTAGACACCACCTCTATTGTCAAGTTTGCTAACGACACTGTTGTTGTGGGCCTGATCTCCAGCAACATCGAGACGGCCTACCTGAAGGAGATTAGGAACCTGGAGACCTGGTGCCAGGAGAATAAGTGGGACGCCAGTGGAGAGAGTGGACAGTTTCCAAACCTGGGTGTCTACATCACTCAGGACCTGTCATGGTCCTGCCACATTAACACCCTGGTTAAGAAAGCCCGCCAGCATCTCTTCTTCCTCAGAAGACTCAGAGACTTCCATCTGCCACTGAGGGTGCTCAACTTTCGTTGACAGGAAACATCTGCACCTGGTTAGGGAACAGCACCAAGCATGACAGACGAGATCTGCAAAGAGTGGTGCGCTCAACCGAACGCATCATTCGATCAGAGCTTCCTGGCCTGCTGTCCATCTACACCAAGCGGTGCAAGACCAAAGCCAGGAAGATTATGATGGACCTCTCCCATCCCAACAATGGACTCTTCTCACTGTTGAGGTCTGGGAAGCGCTTCCGCTCCCTTAAGGCCAAAAACAGAGAGAATGAGGAGGAGCTTCTTCCCCCCAGGGTATTCGGACCCTGAACCAGGTGTAGGACTGGAATCTCTCACACATATCACATCACCACACACACACACACACTGGTTTTTCTTCTTGCACACTTCCTATAATTTATAATTTCTTTTGACTAATAATCTCTTACGTAAACTGTTATTTGCACATTTTTACTATTATTTAAACATTTTTACTGTAAATTTCTAAGTTAAAGCTGTAAATTTTGTAGTAACCTGTAAATTTGTATATCTTACTGTAAACCTACTGTCATTTAATGGTTGGGCACTGCACAGCTACAGGCATCTGACCTCATGTCATACTGTGTATGGTTGTGTGTGTGACAAATAAAATTTGAATTTCAATTAAATGACAAACTTTCCTGTTCTTGTAAAGTATGTAAGATATATTTTAGAGATTTTACTGTACAAATTTTTGTACAGTACTGAGCGTGCTACTCCAGACGTTTCAGCTGTCGTATCAGAAACTTAATTTAAGTTTGCGGGGAAAAAAAACTTATCGTTAAAGCCAATAACAGCCTCCCGTTCGAACCCAGGTGTACTTTCTATTTAAAGATCCATTATCAAACTAACTCTGTTGTATTCACCAGAAAAAAATGTAAAAGTATCCTAACCAGTAAATTCAAATTTTGTTAAAAATAGCGGTACCTATTTTTTCTCAGGCAGGTTAAGTAGTTCCACACCTAAGTGTCGCTTGGTAAAATCAATCGGGCTCCACCAACTGCAGGATGTTTCTTTGCTGCATTCACGTGGTATCGGAAATTTTACATTTGAAATGGCCGCACACAAAAACAATTAAATATAATTGGCAAATTACACTGGAAAATCGATGCTATTGCATTTGCAAGTGACATTGTAGTGTATTTGCACGATGGATAAAGCCTAATAAATTAATCCGTGACTGTACTGACAATATACAAAAACTAAAAAGAAATTCTCTCATTTCGTTAATAAACATGTCACAGAAGAATCTGGGACATAATAGAACAAATAAAAATATATTTCAGCACATTTACTGATTATCAGTATAAAAACATTAAACGCTCATTGTCTGAAATTACTACAAAGAAAATTGCAGTATGTCACAATATGTATCTTTATTGAAAGTAAGCTATCATGCACAAGATAAAAATCATTGGATTACACAACTACATCATATATATGTTCTAGATCTAATCTAACAATGTTCTATGTTCATTTAAATTTTTTAAATCTGCATATTTGGCACTTATTATGATGGCAAATTAGGTAACAATTACTTTGTAAAGAAAGTACACTCTGTTTTATAAACTACAGAAAGAAGCAATACTTAGCTACATCCTGGTTTCCACTGCACCATGCAAAATGTTGTACTGATATAACTGTAGGTCCAGAGAAACCTTCCAGCCATTTGGCAGGGCAACTGCATTTCCTTGTCCTTTGGTAGAGAACTATAAAATACTCTTAAACGCTAACCACACCACATGTCATAACAGTGAACTGTGAACAGAGCAGACCTGGTGCCCTGTCCTAACTGAGATTTTTAAAAAGAATTTTAGTGGACAGTCAGCAATGAAAGCAGAAAGGTGAATCATCACAAGAACTTTAAATAACTTGTCAATAGAACAGAAATGAGCTTCTTCCTCTCTCTTCACCAAAACTAAATGAAGAGGAAATGTGCTTTTAATAAACACTCAACATTTACGTCACACTGTCGGGATTCTCTGAAGGTCCTTCAAAACTTAGTATTTCTTTGGATGTGTCCCCAGCCATCTGTCTGTGTGCGTGTGACCTCCGGTGTCTGCTGAGAGAATGGCTCCATTTAAACCTGCAGCCGCAGATGAGGCACAAATAGGGTCTCTCTCCAGTATGTGTCCGCCGATGCTTTGTCAGTGACGCATTTCGTGAGAAAGTTGCTCCACAATCATTACAAATATATTTCTCTGACTTAATATGAACATTTTGTTCATGCTCTTTCATGTTGCCCAGCTGTGAAAAGCCTTTACCACACACAGGGCAAAGATGTGGCTTCTCTCCAGTGTGGGTCAATACGTGAATATTCAAATCCTGGCGAGAATAAAACTGCTTGCCACAGATAATGCATTTGTATGGTCTTTCCCCTGTGTTCCTCCTCATGTGCCTTTTCAGTCCCTCAGAGCGAGAGAAGCAGCTCTCACATAAGGTACATTTGAAAGGCTTCTCTCCTGTGTGGGAGAGGAAGTGCCTACGAAGCGCCGAGGCCTTGAAGAAACACATCCCACAAGCTGCACAACTGTGAGGTTTTTCTGGCTGCTCCTCGTGTGTCTTTTCGTGTGCTTTGCAGTGACCTGACTCGGAGAATCCCTTACCGCAGACCGAACAGGTGAAAGGCTTCTCTCCAGTGTGCATACGCTTGTGACGAATGAGTTTGTTAAGTTTTCTGAAAGTCTTCATGCAGTATGAACACTGATGAGGTACCCTGGGTTGTTTTGTGTGTGTGCGTTTATGCCTCTCCAACCTTGAGGGTCTATTGAACACTTTTCCACAGTCAGGACAGGGGTGCTTGTTAGTCCTACTGTGGCAATTCCGGTGTCGGATCAGCATCTCTTGTTTTGTAAAGCTTATACTACAATGCTCACACTCATGAAGAGTCTTGGGCTTGCTCGTGTGTACAGGTTTATGCCACTCCAGCTTTGACGGTCTGTCAAATATCTTGCCACAAACAGTGCAAGGGTAACACTTGTCTGATGTGTTGCTCTGTGGCTGTTTGTTTTCTGGCTCGGCCACTGAAGCATCACTGGAATCTGGGTCTGAGATTATTTTCACCACCACTATTTCTGGACCTGAAGAGCAATCACATTAAAAACACAATTTGAGTGTGTTACTGGCTGAAGTGACTTAGCAAATCTCAGTAAGCAAAACACAATGATTGACTTTTACCATGTTACACATACGCATTCATGTTCAGTGGGGCTTAGTTTTGTTCTGTTCCACATGCACTGTATGCCACCAAATTCAGTTAGATAAAGAACCAGGCTTTTTAGAACTAAAAAAGTGAACTTATTTATTACACAAATTTTGATCAAAAGGGGAGAAACATGCAAAATACCCTCAATACATACTTTCCTCTGCAGATTCTGTTTTAGGGACAGGTGTGGTGTCTGGGCCCATTGCTGCAGCCTGTTGATGTACAACCCATAAAGAGTTAAGGAACAAATACACAATATATCTACATATTGTACATTTACTATTGTAGCTTCCACGATGCAAACTCGTACTGTAGCTAATGTCTGAGACCAAAAGGACTCATTAGACACATCCAGGGAAATTCAAACAAAACTGATGTGGAAAGTGAACAATAAACATTGATACAGCTAATATAAAAGTCCTAATGGAGAGCTATTTCAGATGAACAACTGTCAAGTTATCTCTGTTAAATCCAGAATTGAATTCAAAATCCTGCTCCTCACATACAAGGTCTTAAATAAT